GACGCATTAATTATGCTATTATATCCCATTTTGTGGGCTAGATATAATTGAAATACTTATTTTTGCATAATCTAGTAAATTAAACTTTACGTTTAAAAAAATAAACTATTCCAAATCCTGGAATGAGTTTGCCTTGATCGTCATGGTTCCAGACAGACCCAATTTCATCCAGATAAGCAGCCCAAAACATCGAATTCAGTACTAATCTTCAACAAATCGCCGTATATTATTTATCAACATGCATCGCCCGACTTATGAACCGGAATGGAATTACCAAGAAAACACAGCCTTGATAGCCAAAAGGATATGATTAGTGATTTTTCTGATCCATCAACTTTCTCATTCAAGTGATCAATCGATGCGACTCGGATGCTTCCGACTCACGCCATGTAGGTTTAACAACCCGCCTTCCCAAACCACGCAATGGCCAGCAACCACCAAAGAAAGGAAAGACCGCATTAAATACTTCAGACCCAGAAAGAAATTGGCAAAGAAGCACTAAAAAACAGATTTTAGATTTTATATCAACATCGCATAATTTAAGCACACAACGTAGAGAAGGCTCGCAGAGTAGAGAGATACAAATACAATATCATCGCAAAAATATACATTATTTTAACGATTTAGAAAGCTAGCGCAAATTTAGCCGATCTTCCTTTTCAGATGACTTCGAATCATCTTCCAAAAATCTAAAAACAAAATAAAATACGGATATCAGATGCAACTCGAATCCAACTTATAGACCTGTGGAGTACAAAAAGTTGGAAAAGGAATTCGTCATGCATCGTAAGAAAATCACAGTCAGCTAAATCGGATTCATCTAGCAAAAATTACTGACTATTGAGAATCATCCTTCGAAAATCTCAAAATTCGACAACTGATAACAACACATAAAATCAACAAAGACAGAATAAAAAATACAGGATTACTATATCAACAATGGCCGATATTCGATCATTCCATGATCAATGACATTTCAGACTTTCAAATTAGAATCAACACAAGAAAAAACAAAAACAGATACAGATAAATTAGCCCTAAAAAAAGGAAATCGGTTACTATTACAGAACTCTTCAATCAACCTTAGAAAAAGAAAGTAATAAAATACAAAAAATTTACTGATTTAGTAGATGACACCGATTCTTCTTTGCCACAAACCTCAACATCTAACATTAGGTACAACTGATCTCCAAACGAATACTCAAACACATGGGTGATCTCTTCATGAAAAGGCAACACCAATTACAAAGGAAAAACAAAAATTCTGCAAAAACAGACACATCAAACAATTAAACTATCCAATGCAAGTAGTTTATATGAAATTAATAGTAGTCTTGCAATTTCGGATCAAAACAAAACAAACTGCGAAAGAAAAAAATATTTAAGTAAACAACTCGAAAGAAAACAGTCCATAAAAGAAGATGAAAAAAGAACCAATTCCAGATCAAATCACAGAATTCATGAAAGATGAAAGCAGAGAACTTATTGAAAGCGTTACGAAAAGAAGAATCACTTCAACGACAAAAAAAAGTTTGAGACGAATGAATGATATTTCGAAACAATTAGAAGATCAGTTCAAAAACACGAGATGACCAGATGAAAACGTAAACCATTAGAATACAAACCAAAGCCATTAGAAGCAAATCACCACCGATTCCCTAAAGAAGAGCAAACCTTCATTAAAGTCAAAAGCGTTGGAAGACAGAAGAGAAAAACGCGAGCCATCTCAAACAAAGTTCTAAGAAGAAATATTAATTAATACCAGATGAATCGATTTAATCAAAGAAAGAAAAACTCAAGAAGTTAATAGGGGAGAACAAAAATTAGAAGAGAAATCGGTGAAAAAAGTCCCTCTCCACCTCCAAAAAGAGAAAGATCGTAAAAGAGTGTTATTGACGAAGATGATGTTGATTCCAAGGAGGTATAAATTATGCAGTGAAAAAAGATAAGAAGGCGTTCATGGAATCCCAGCAAACAACAAAAGCAGCACAATACGTAAATCAAAATGATCAGACAAGAAGATTGTTTCAACAAGCAGAAGAAGCAGACAGAGCTAAACAGAAAGAAGAAGAATGAACGACTAGGAAAGGAAATCAAAGTTGCTGCAAGGATCGAACCAGATTTCCCGGGAAATTACGAGAAGCAAAGTCAAGTTAAAACGAAAAGATATTAAAGAACGTAGGAAAAGAAGAAGAGGAAAAAAGTAAAACAATTTCTAAGCCAAACTCGAAATACTCTGTATTGCTTAAACGAGTTGAAAGAATCCGTTATTGTTACAGCAGAAGCGACACAAACTACAAGACAAGAAGCGCGTCATCGAGCGATAAGTCCAGCAGTGTGTGTTAAAGACTCCAAACAAATGCATTGGGATACAGTCCGAGCTCAAAAAAGAGAAGCTAAAAAATGAAGGAACTGAGAAAGATGTGGAGCGGAAAAAAAGTGTAAATATTTTTATGGTTTATTAAATAAAAAGATATTTGTTTATTTATGGTTAAGTATGAAATTATACACATTCTCTCTATATTTTGAAGGTAAAATTTACCTCACACAAATAAAAATTATTCCTGAAAAATACAGAGAGACAATTTAATGCGGAACTTTGGCATATTTTTCCCCACACATTAGTTTTTTCACTCTTTGCATATGAAACTCTATATTGCATTCTGCTTTAAGAGTGCACTAGGAGATTACGCTTTTTAACCTCCTTATTTCTAAAATTCTTCTACTTTTATACTTTCGAGCTCTAAAAAAGTTAGAAAGCTTAAATGCGTCTGCAATTAGAGCATTCATATCAGCTATACCTCATTCTCCTTGAAATAAAACATAATTCAATATTTTATTAATTCTTTTAATTTTTCCTGAGAAGTCTACCATTAATATGTTCATACCAAATTCTAATGTTAAATTTTCATATTTAACATCAAATGTAGGCTGAGAGTTTCAGTCAAATTAAGTTTATTTTTTTACTAAAGCAATACAAAGAGAAAGTAATGAACAATGATATGAATAATATTAAAACCAATTTCAATTTTGTGTAATTATTCTTCTTATAGCTAAATCTAAAATAGAAACCTCTGCTTCAACCAGATATGATGAAAGTGAGAAAAGAATTATGAATAGAATATGTATTATGAATACTATTTGTAATAATTGATTGATATGTTTTACCTATTCTGTCACAGAAAGAATCTTTAACTGTAATTGAACAAATTCTTTTTTGATAAAATTCTACTCCTGGTCCTGAATTTCCAAGAAATGAACAGTTTTCAATATGAACAGTTGATCCATCTGCATAGAATGTTCCATATGTAGAATATATGTGTTCATTATTCAAAACATTACAAAAATTAAAATTATAGTTACCATAATCTAATTCTAAAATTCTATAATTTGATGTTGTGTTACAAAATGATGAATATGTTACGTTACTTTGACTTGGTGGTTCAAATAGACGTATTCCTGAGTCAAAGTTTGCTTCACAGAAACTTGTGTTGATTGATTTAACTCCAATATTTCCATATTGAAGATGATTTGTATTAGATTTTTCTAAATTTCCGCATTCATAAAAAGAACTTTCATAAAGATAATTTTTATTATTTGATTTAGAAATAAGGAAACATATGAATGAATGCCCATAGGAGTTTGTTTTTGATTTGTAGCCACATGTTCGGTATTGGACAATGGAACTATCACAAATAAAGTAGAGAGATCCACCATATGAATCACTGCTGCAGTTAGTAAATGAACAATACGAGTTAAGAAATTTATTGTTTGATTTTTCAAAAGAAATGGCACTCTTAGTTGTAATGGTGATGTATATACAGTATATACAGAAGCATTCCATTATTCTGTTGATTTCGCATGAGACACTAACAACAATCAACAAACTTTATACCTTGAATTGGTTTTGAATTAGGTTGTGTACCGTAAAAGTGCTCCCAAACATAATCAGTTAATTGATCAAAGTGTAAATTATTCATAGTTGATGTGTGTTTTGATACTGTTATCTGAAAATCGTGATGAATTCACTTGTTTTTCATCAAAAAAAAATGAAGCGCATTATTTGACATTTCCAAGATGAGAATGTCAAATAATGCCGATTCATTTCGAATCTGATATCAATTATTTTGAAATTTTGCATTCTTTTAGCATGTCATCAGCCATTTAACAGCTAAGTGCATGACAACAATGATGAAATCATTCTAATTCTTATATTAAAAACATAGTTAGTGGATAGGACGGCGCTGTTGCTGACCTTTTTTTGTCATACATCTATATATTAGACGATGCATAAAAATATATTTATTTATAAATCATTAAACAAGTAACATTAATTTATATAAAATAATTTAGTTTAATTTATCTTTATAAAAGAAGCTATTCATATAATGATGTCAGATATTTCCCGCGATTAATTAAACATTGTTTAAATCCTGAATGGGCGTTTAAACTTCAATTTAAAAAGTGAAGATGTATTATTAAATGAATTGAAAGCCAAAATAAGCTAATGAGGCTATAAAGTATAATGATAAAGACTATTTAATTTTCAGAATATCAATGGAGTCATAGATCAAGACCTCATAAACGAGAAGAAGAAATGAAAATAATGAAATGGAAATCATACCCAGATGACATTAAAGAGGAGGAAATTCCTAAATTTTGTAGAAAAACCCTGAAACTAAGGTAGGAGCTATAGTAAACGTAGAGTATTAAATCCGTGAATTACTCTTAAACATCATGGAAAAAGAATAGAAACCCTGTGAATTATTCAAACGCTAATGATATGAACAATGACTAGAATCAAAACTGAGACTATAAAAACTTGGAAAGTGAATACGAAAGATGCCCAAGAGTAAAACGATAAAGTTTTATACAGTTTTCAGTATAATAACTGGCACACAGTTGGATAAGAAAAACCATTTAGGAAGTATGTAAAAAAGTTCTGAAATTCCTTTTAAATCTAGTTGTACGAGA